GTGTGGAAGCGTTCTAGAAATTTCAGTTTTACGTAACAATACTGAACTACACTTATGCATTTACGTATATACATATATTGTAGATTCTTACTCTCGAGAATATTCTACAACTTTGAAGAATAGGCGGGAGTTTCGCAATATATATTTAACACTATAAGCTACGCCTGTTTTAAAATCAAAACTTAATCTAAACAAACGCTGATATTAAAGTAAATACATAATAACAAATTCGTTACAAAGAAATTATATTTTTCATTATTGTGAATTTCTACTTTTGATAAAGTCTTAAGCTCGATAGCTCAATTTTAATATGCCACAACTGTTTTGAGAAATTTGTAAAAATATATATTACTCTGAATTAGCAAATAAACTGTTTATCCTTTATTACATGAGACGGTTCGTCGGTACAGTCGTGACTTAATTGATGAAGATACTCCTTTTCACCATAAGAACCGCATGGAGCTCCGTCACCATCAAAACCAATTACAGAATGTACGCGCTCGTAACAAGAAGAAAATGAAAAACGGTAAGATCTAGGTGCGCCAAAAAACAAGGAAGAAAAATTTGATCAATCAACTTTTTGTTTTGCTTAAAAGAAGGAACAAACTATTGTTATTACATTAAAGTTCGAAATTTTTTCATTGATTGAAATATATAGAGAAGTACGTACTTTTCAAATAATCTCTCGTCCATGGCTGATGTGAAATTACGTACTTGCAAAGAATCTGAATCTATCGTCCTGTGAAGGCTAATGTAAAAAAACATATTTCCAATGAGATCAAGGAGAAGAACACACATACACAGCTATTTTGAAATCACTCTATTTGCAATAGATTAATATTTTTGTGTCCTGTTTTTTGACCAAAACTGATTGTTTATACATTTGTGAAAATACACACTTCTTCTAAACGCTTTGAATCACTTCTTCCTTTTCTATAAAAATGCTTTGAGATGTTTCATAAACACAAGCTTTTTATATCTCGGATAAAAGTAACAAATGTCGTCTAATAACTTTGATATCACCAACTTTTCGTTTCTCTTCATAGCTTTAAAGTATAATATAAAAGTAAGAAATTTAGAGAATGAAACTGCATCGTGAAGACTGTAATTATTTCTTATTTACAGAACTATAAGTTAGTGAAAATATTGTGTGAAACTTTTAAGGGAGTGTAGGGTCGGTGGTAAAATATCTGTGAAAGTAAAAATTCTCTGGAAAGTTTGTATATAATGTGAATCAGTCTTCAACGATTCATTTAAATATTTGGTGTTTGTGTTAAACAACAATCTCGTAGCTAGTGTTTCTCAGTCTTATCCAACGTTCTTCATATATATTGATGCACATGGAAGAAATGATGGTGGTTTCTTTAGAAAATGATTTTATTCTCTATATAAACATATATATTGTTGATATACAAGGAAAGGAAGAAGTTAGTTGCCCCAGGTGTTGCACTATTCTAGAAAGTTTGACTTTGCTGCACTCTCCTTGGAAAGTTTATTGTTACTGCACTCTCTTTGACCGTCTTAGAAATTTGTAGTTGCTGCCCTGTTCTTGACTTTCTTAGAGAGTTTAAAGTTGTTACTGCACTCTCATTGACCGTCTTAGAAATTTGTAGTTGCTGCCCTGTTCTTGACTTTCTTAGAGAGTTTAAAGTTGTTACTTGCACTCTCTTTGACCGTCTTAGAAATTTGTAGTTGCTGCCCTGTTCTTGACTTTCTTAGAGAGTTTAAAGTTGTTACTGCACTCTCATTGACCGTCTTAGAAAAATTGTTTATTACTGCATTCTCCTTCACCATCTTAGAGAGTTTGTAGTTGCTGCACTCTCCTTGACCATTCTAAAGATTTTGTAGTTACTGCACTCTCCTTGACCATTCTAGAGAGTTTGTAGTTACTGCACTCTCCTTGACCATTCTAGAGAGTTTGTAGTTACTGCACTCTCCTTGACCATTCTAGAGAGTTTGTAGTTGCTTCACTCTCCTTGACCGTTCTAGAGAGTTTGTAGTTGCTGCACTCTCCTTGACCGTTCTAAAGATTTTGTAGTTGCTTCACTCTCCTTGACCGTTCTAGAGAGTTTGTAGTTGCTGCACTCTCCTTGACCATTCTAGAGAGTTTGTAGTTGTTGCACTCTCCTTGACCGTTCTAGAGAGTTTGTAGTTACTGCACTCTCCTTGACCGTTCTAAAGATTTTGTAGTTGCTGCACTCTCCTTGACCATTCTAGAGAGTTTGTAGTTACTGCACTCTCCTTGACCGTTCTAGAGAGTTTGTAGTTGCTGCACTCTCCTTGACCATTCTAGAGAGTTTGTAGTTACTGCACTCTCCTTGACCGTTCTAGAGAGTTTGTAGTTGCTGCACTCTCCTTGACCGTTCTAAAGATTTTGTAGTTGCTGCACTCTCCTTGACCGTTCTAGAGAGTTTGTAGTTACTGCACTCTCCTTGACCGTTCTAAAGATTTTGTAGTTACTGCACTCTCCTTGACCGTTCTAAAGATTTTGTAGTTGCTGCACTGTTCTTGACTCACTTAGGAACTCTGTTGATCAAAAGGAACGACAATTTGAACATCTTTGCTTATGTAGTAGTACAATACAGTACATATTTGTCATGAAATTTAATATTATCAAATAAAACATGGATTGTAATGTATTACTTCTGTCTCGTCTTGTATAAGCAGATTTATTCTGTTTTCCCAAGACTGTTTTTACACAACAACAAACCTACGTAAGCTAGCATGATTTTATTTTATTGCAGTATATAACTTCTTGTCATTAGTGTCGTACATAACTTCATAGTGTAATTATTTTGATTTTTTTTAGATTCCAAGCAAAACAAAAACACTTTATCTAGATGGAACCTTTTGCCCGGTGAATCTGAACGTTCGGATAAAGATGGAGCTTCTTTGAACAATTCAGAAACTATAATCCATATGGAGAACTTAGACTCTTCTGATAAACCCGCACCATCTGGCGCAGTTACTTTTACAATAGAAGAACAAAATCATACTACACTATCTCAGGATATTTCTGATGAATCGGGTAAGTTAATTTGACTATTTAAGTGTATTACGTTATTCATTTTGTGCAACTTAATGAATTATTTTGTGATGTTCAAACATATTTTTTATACACGTTAGATTTTGAATAGAACTTGCTTATTCTCGATTTTGTAATGACAAACAATACAGCAGTAACAAGCTAGGTTCCTGAACTTAGAAAATTGAGATAGAGTAGTTTAGGTGGTGTACTATGTAGAAGGAATGAAGAACAGGGTGCTTAAGTATTATGTGATATACAAGATGAGCATAACAGAGTGAATGTAAAAAAAAGTTGATATCAATTTCTTATTTTGAAGAGCACAAGGAATCGACATCGTTGAAGATGAGAAAACATTTGTCCTAATCTTATTTGTTTTAGTAAGTTCTTTATATGTCAAAAATTTGCTTGTAAGTCCAATTAACTCATCATTGGCCCCCCGTGGCACAGCCGTATGTCTGCGAACTTACAATACTAGAATCCGGGTATCATTTAAAGTAAAAGACATTATAACAAATTATGAAGTACTTTGCAAGTAAAAAACTAAAGTTGAAATCGAAGCCAGTCGTCACATGATGACAACGACATTGTGCCATTGTGTAGTATAGTCGTGCATTAAACAGTTTGATTAAGCAAAAAAACAGATAAAATAATTTTGAATGGGATAGCTAATATGCAATCCGGACGCCTCGGGTAAAGGCCTTTCTAAAAATATGAGATTTGTAGCGTTTGATCAAGAGATTTGCGAGAAAAGTTCCGGACAGACAAACACAAGCGTATTATTTATATAGATTGACTAATTTTAACAACCTGTAGATAAATATACACAAATTTCAATATCAACAATTCCTGCCTGTGGCTGAACTTAAATGTTTTTAACAGGGGTGTGGACATTTCGTGTATTCAGATATTTCACTAGTTATTGAGCGCATGAGATCATTGGCTGGAGAATAAGACTTTAAGAAATTGTGATTCGATCATCCGATATGTGCTTTAGCCACTCAGTTTTTTTTTTCTTTTTTGTCTTTTAACAGTATAAAAATAACAATTTCGAATAAGGCCTGAAACGGCATAGATCCGATTTTCTCACTCAGGTAGAATTGTAGTAAACTTTAACGTTTCAACTTGTGAGAAAACTAGTAATAGGCTGATACAGTTTAGCAAGAATACGTCACGTCTTGAGCTTATGTTGAATAGATTACTTTGAAGGAAGGCCAATCACGTGTTATTTACTTTTAAAATGCTGAAATAATTTTATTGTAAAAACAGTTGATCGTTTGGAAAAGTAATTGTTTTTAAGTTTTAATATATTGTTTAAATATATAAAATTTCCAAACATAACAAGTTACCAAAGCTTGTTAAGCTGTGACTTGTTAATAGTTAGTCAGTCGAGATTATTATCATTTATTGGTATTATTTTATTGCGATTTTTTAAAGGATTACGTAGTATTTTTTTTCATCTTTTAATCGTATTAAATTTCTAAATATCAAAAGTTATCAAAGTTCGATAGCGTGTGGTTTGTTACTAGTATATCGAAATTTTAATTTGTATGTTATTATTTTGTCGAAATTCTTTTAAAGGAATGAGTAGAAATTCTTTTTCATCTACACCTCTGTCATCTCGTACAATAACTGAAACAACATTACCATGGAAACGAGAAGAAGACTGCAATGATGAGAGCTGCATTCGGAAACAGCTGGAGTTTCCTTCATGGGTTGAAAACACAGAATATAATACTTATACCTCATTATCCAGCAATGTACTGAAAAGATCAAATACTGATGATGATGGTAACGATCCGCCAGATGTGTTTAGATTGCTTCAGCTGAAAGAACTACACGAAAAGGAAAAAGAAAGTTCAAAAAATCAACGACTAGAAACTGATGATAAATTTAACAACAGTAAACCCCATGAAGAAGATTTCGATGTTACAGCTGCTGGTGGTGGAGAGGTCCTTCAAGAGACTACCACTCGAGACACCAGTGAGAACCCTCTCGAACTGAGAAGACCTACGCCACTGAAGACAAACTGGAAGAATCACATGAGCTTGTGATCAACATCGACGATGCCAAAATGATAAAAAGAACACTGTCAGACGATTTTAACGTACTGAACAAGGTTTAAAAATATGGGAGATACCGTATTAAGATGGTGAGAGAATTGCTGAAACGACAAAAATTTACCCAGGGTGTGGAAAAGGGTCTGCTCATAAGACACGTTATAATCAATATAACATTTTACAAGTTAATAAGTTTACTCTAACAAATATTCATACATAAAACCATTATTCAAGAATATTTCAAATGCTTTTGTGATATCAGTGTTTTTAATCTGTAAGTAAAATGATTTTTATTATAATTTTTTAAATAATCCTAAATTGAGTCCAGTATCTCAGTATCATGTTTGGTACCGGAGGATATTACTTCAACACTACTTGTTTGGGACATATATTTTGATGTTGTTCACAGAATTTTTCTTATAGTTTATGTAACGATTGCTAAAATGCTTAAAGAGCAAGTTGAACACAGTATTTGTAAAGTTGTTACATATTACGAGTTTCCCAAAGCTAGAAAGCCTTTAGGAGCTTTAGATCTATTTTTGTAATCAATATGATTATAAAGATGTGCGATAATTACTGTAATTACATTGACTACCTCTAGAGGCCATTATAAGCTTCCTTAAAAGGCCATGTAGTAATTGTTGGTAGTACTCGATTCATTACTATGTGATTAACATCAGGATCTGTATTTAGAGGCCATTATAAGCTTCCTTAAAAGGCCATGTAGTAATTGTTGGTAGTACTCGATTCATTACTATGTGATTAACATCAGAATCTGTATTTAGAGGCCATTATAGGCTTCCTTAAAAGTCCATGTATTAATTGTTGGCAGTACTCGATTCATTACTATGTGATTAACATCAGGATCTGTATTTAGAGGCCATTATAGGCTTCCTTAAAAGTCCATGTAGTAATTGTTGGCAGTACTCGATTCATTATTATGTGATTAACATCAGGATCTGTATTTAGAGACCATTATAAGCTTCCTTAAAAGTCCATGTAGTAGTTCTTGGCAATACTCGATTCATTACTATGTGATTAACATCAGGATCTGTATTTAGAGGTCGTTATAGGCTTCCTTAAAAGTCCATGTATTAATTGTTGGCAGTACTCGATTCATTACTACGTGATTAACATCAGGATCTAATGAATCGAGTACTGCCAACAATTAATACATGGACTTTTAAGGAAGCCTATAATGGCCTCTAAATACACTATGTGATTAACATCAGGATCTGTATTATACAAGAACATAACTATTCAATTAATTTTCCACTAAGACGAGTGTTATATATATAATGTCTTGGTCACGTATAATCCTTAGTGCAAATGTACTCTAAGGTTTTTTCCAGTAAATACAGATTTCAAATACAGACTTTAGGAATTAACGAGCAAGTAGGGTTTTTTTTTCTTGTTTTAAAGGAGGTAAGTAATAAATGCTATGTACCGATATGTAGTTATAATAAACTTTATTTGTATCAGATAGTTCACCTTTACAATATATTTCGAAACTTGACAGAAATCTGATTTTCTTCCCTTGATCAAGCTGTTATAACTTAGTTAATAACAATTGCCTTTAATCAGAGTAAGCTATGCACTTAGATCGAAACTAAATATCAACCTGATCATCAGTATATCCACTTAACTATACTTTTCTTACGTTCCTACTTATAAAAATTAGAATGCATTGTTTCATCAGTTGGATACTCTAGTTGTTAATGGCATTTTCGGCCGTAAACCCAATAATATCTCTCACATTTCGGCTAGTTTAGGAAGTTTAGGTTAGTCCTACAAATTCTAAGCTAACAATGCGAAACAATTTTTATAATAAAGGTATACAATAATGAACGACAAATAGAAATAAGTTACATTTGATATGCTAACTAATATAACGAATGTTATTAATTATTGAATAGAACTCTAAATAAACAAAATATCATACCTTGCCCAGGCAACTTACAAACACTAGTTGTTGTCTTGATTAATATTTGTTCTGAATCTTGCTCTCCCTAATCCCGCACTTCAGCAAAGAAAACTCATTACGGCACTCCTACTATACAACATCAGAGGCTATCCTAACTGTGACAGTTAAACCAATACGTTTTAGTTTAAGGGTGCTAAGTTGGTAATATCAATTTTCCGACGGCATGAAGATACAGAATAATAGCTGAAATGACCAATATAATATAACAATGTTAGATTTAATTAGAAGAAAAAACTAGCTAAAACGTAATACGTAGTTTGTCTAAAAACGTTTATCGCCACTCAGACTTAACTATTTCCTATGAAAAACATTTAGAAATAGCTGCAGGAAGTAATAAGTAACGTTCAATCTTCTGTAAACATCTAAAATTTAAACACAATAATCTAAAAATACGAAAGTTCTACAAAAATAATACATTATATGTACAAATACACGACAATTAAAGTAAATATAAAAACTAGTCATCTTAAGTCCAACTTAGCTAATATTAACTATATATAAACTAATGTTGGTCAGAACACTAAAGCTGTTTACTACCACCCCAAACAAAAAAATCAAGAAACAAAAGTGTAGATGTGAAAGTTTTAGAGGTTGTGACATTCTGTAAAACTTGTAAGCACGAAATATTGACCAAGAATATTGTTGAATTTTCGACAGAATTGAATGAATTTTGTGTTTAAATTTCTCAATGAGAAACCTCGATTATGAAAAATACGAGCGGGTTTATGAGTTCTATTCATAGAATCTTGTAATGATGAACAAATTATATTGCATTTAATAAGCTGAGAGTAGTAAACTCTAGAGCGTCGTATGATCAGATGGTTAGGGGAGCTCGACTCGCAATCCGAGGGTCGCGGGTTCGAATCCCCGTTTCACCAAACATGCTCGCCCTTTCATCCATGGGGGCGTTATAATGTGACGGTCAATCCCACTATTCGTTGGGAAAAGAGTAGTCAAAGAGTTGGCGGTGGGTGGTGAGACTAGCTGCCTTCCCTCTAGTCTTTCACTGCTAAATTGGGGAAGGCTAGCGCAGATAGCTCTCGTGAAGCTTAGCGCGAAATTCGAAAAAACAAACAAACTTTGTTTAAATAGTTTATTCCATGGCATACGAAAAAGGCATTGATAATAAAATTACAGCAAGGTGGGAGATAATATAGTTTTAAATGAAGATTTATCTTTGTGTACTATTTAAAGATGGAAAAACATTTGTCTTTACTCTTTCTTACTAATATTCTACGAGCTTCTTCATATGTCCATAACGTATCAGTTTCAGGATACAATATATGTATTTATATATACACCTGGAAAAAAGTTAAGCACCCCCGTGTTTTTTTCAAGTGATTCAGATTCGGCGTTCTTGTGA